TTTTTTGCAAAGCAGTGGTTGCAGTCAGTTTTGTAAATATTTAGAGACAGGTTGGATCCCATCAGGCAGCCTCTGCACACACCTTGCAATTGAGAATAATCACCCAGAAGTTAAGGGTCTTGCACGTTCAGTCTCCGGGCAACTGCTGCAAATACTTGCAAACAGTCACTGAATGTCAAAAGATTCTGTGCAATCATCAGGCAACCACATTTTTCTCAGTCATAAGGAGGTCCTGTCCCATTTTTACTCTAGTGGGCCCGAGACATTAGTGTTGTATTTAAATCGATGGATAGATTCTTTGTATCTGAGAAATGAAGCCAGTGTGCAAAAGCCAACCTTGCATTCTTTTTAGCTTCCTAGCTGAGGACTTGTAGGTGGTCTGGATACTCCTTTGAGCATCATTTTTTGTATATGCAGTTGTAGTAGTCTGAGAGTCAGTAGGACGTACTCAGCATTTGAAATTGGTCCAGTGAGAACAGGAACAGTGCTCTGGTGGTGTCGCCTCAGTGTAACCGTGGTGACCAAGGAGCTGTCAGACAAGACTCAAACTTCTGGTTTAAGGCTGTGCAATTGTGCCATCCACCACCCCCTTCTAACGTGGGCATAGACTGTAGGTTTTCTTTCTTCCTCACATGTAAAAAGGAAACTACAGGGAAAATGACACTAAGTGGAAATATGACTAGAAGCATTCCCTGACCACACATCAGCTTGTGATAAGATGGAAGAGAGCATGTGTTAGCAGATGGCAACTCCTGTGATTTCTAAAAAGTCTAATTGTATAGAAGTCTACGGCTCACTTGATTTAATAGGTCAGTAAACACGTTCCTATTACAGTTATGGTTTCAGATGCTAGTTTAAAGTCTTTTTTAATACACCATGAGGTTCATTTTCTAAGTTATGGCCGTATTTAGAGGAAAATAAAAAAGAAGGATTTGCTTTAGGGCAAGGCATACTTTATGAGTGTGCAGTCTTCTCAGCTCCTTGGTCATATCCACCCCACACTTGCTTATTTGGTTTCAAAACACCAAGATGGTGAACGCCTGAAATTCAATATTTCAAAATGGGATCCCACAGCTTGAGTCCATCTTTAATCAAGCTATGACAGAGACAGACTTCCTGGAACTACACCGGTTCAGCAGAGTTGTAATGAAAATCATAACTTGTAAACGACTGCACAAAGTGATGTAATATTAAAGACATTAATACCTGACACCTCTTACACGCTTAGATGTTTGATTTGCTCAAATGCCTCTGTTTAGGCGTGCGGTTTTCCACTTTGCAGCATTTCACATTGCACTGAGAGTCAGGTCAGGAGTAAAACAAATATGGAGAGCAGGCTTATTTGTTTCAGGACTGAGAGTTTTGTAGGCCATGTTGACAGACCCTAATCGCCTGCCAAATGTCTCATCTGACTGGCGTGGAGGTTTGTTGCTCTCTTTGAAAAACACAGCGGACCACACTTCATTAAAAAAGCAAATAGAAGCCAATACTGGCAAACAGAGCCAATTTGATTCTGAAGAGACAAATTTAACAGGCAGATATGATTACCTCAGACACCACTTCTCCCCTGATTCCACAAACAACAGTTAGGCAAGTCAATTTACCTTAATTTCATTGGAGAAAGCCAGCCAGCCAGCAAGGTTGAAGTCGGTGCTTGATACGACTGAGCACTCGTTAGATGATAATGGATGCATGTAATTGGTAAAGTGCTGATTGCTCCCCCCTCAAAAAGATTCTATCGGAGGAGAATTTTCTGTTTCATTAAGCCATGGTCAGAAATAATGAGATGGCCATCTGTAGACTGTGAGAGAAAAAGAGTGAGTAGGGACTAGTGGTTGGTCATAACTGAGACAGGTTTTTTGTGGTGTCTTCAGCCTTCTGTTTTTTTCCATTGTCAGATATATATTTCCTTTTGGCTTCAGTTCTTTCTGTGTCTATAGCATTTCCCTTTGCTGTTAATCATGCAGGCCGAATCAGTGTGTTTTGCACACTTCCACGTGTATATGTCTTTTTGGTTTACAGCCTTAATGCATCATTGGCTGGCTGCACACCAGCTCACTTTTATGGCCCGGGATCAAACACGCACACATGCTTCAATGGGCATGCAAAAGCACACTGATACAGACACTTTTAGAGCCATAAGTGCTTACTCATCATGCCGCATGGAGAGAACGCATTGGGAGCCATTTATGTTTTGTTTTCCAATGCATTTATTACTGAAGAGTGCATGGTCTGCTGCTTATATTTTTGTGCCCCTGTGTCTTTCTCTCACTGCGCAAGGACATCTTTCTCATTTAGTTGTGACAACAGAACAAGAACATGACTCATCCAAGATAAGACCAATGAAGACTGGGAGTCTTATGGGCCAGAAAATGAAGACAGCAAAGGCAGTTCTATAGAGAAAAAGCAAAGGAAAGCCCCCTCCCTATCATTTCCAATCAGCTGCTGGTTCTGCATGACTAATGCTGAAATGACATATATCATTGTCAGATAGGGCATGTTCACACAGCTGTTATTTTTTTTCACCAAAAATGACTGGCTCTAACACACACGCACACCTTATGCACGCTAGCTCACTATTATCTTGCTGGCTGACACCATTTTGCTCTCTAACAATCTTGCTAATTATAATTGTTAATTAATTCTCTGCCAGTGTCCTCATCAGGAGACTAATAACCTACATTTCCATTAATTAGACCTTCAACCCTTCGCTCCCTCTCTCAGTCTCTCTGTCCCACTCCAATCCACCCCTCCATCCTCTGCCTCTGATCCTGCCTGCTGCTCTCTTCTCCCAGGATCATCCGTGGACCACACATGGCCTGCACACATACATGCACACATAAACTGTGATTAATTGTGTCTGTGTGCGCTTGCATTAGTAGCATTGTGATGACAAACGTTTGTTCTTGCTGTTGCTTCATGAGCTTTCAACCTGTGAAAGGGATTGTGATTTTAAAGTTAAACTAATGAATTATGAAAATGTGTTTATTTACTTCTGAGTGACAGTCAGGTGTAAAGATCATTGCAATCTCTCATGAATGACTTCTAAATATAGCCTGGCTCTTGTTGACATCTCAGCACATCCAAAGATCATAATGAGCATTGCACTGCTAACCATGGCACGTAGTCTCCAAAAACAGCGGCATCATTCTTACACTATGATTGCTGCATGAATGCTATTTACAAAGACTTGCTGAGAGCTCAGTAGTGCAGATTGGTAGCTTTTGTTACTGTCTAAGCCACAGGTGTCGAACTCCAGGCCTCAAGGGCCGGTGTCCTGGAGGTTTTAGATGTGTCCTTGATCCAACACAGCTGATTTAAATGGCTAAATTACCTCTTCAACATGTCTTGATGTTCTCCAGAGGCCTGGTAATGAACTAATCATGTGATTCAGGTGTGTTAACCCAGGGTGAGATCTAAAACCTGCAGGACACCGGCCCTCGAGGCCTGGAGTTCGACACCCCTGGTCTAAGCATAGTAAGAAGGTCCTGGGTTTAAATCCAGTCTGGGTCTTAGTCTTGATCCCTGACTTTGTGTGGGTTCTCTCTGGTTACTCTGCCCTTCTCCCACTGTCTGAGCGTGGCTGGTGGTTACCCACTGTTTTGTCTTTTTGGAAAGCTAACCAGCTCTTTGTTCCAGCTCCATATTTGCTAAACGGACATGAGATGTCATTGTTCTCATCTGGCAAGAAAGTGAAAAGGCACATTTGCAAATATCTTATATTCTAGTCTTACTTTTATAAGTAGAGGCCATTTATCTGAATTTGACGTGCTGGAGCACACCCTGGCCCTTCTGGGCTGTGGTATAGACAAATCACCCCCTCTGGTCATTTGTCTATAAATTTGTTCCCCTTCTTTTTGAGGTTATAAAGCTCTCTCAAAGGTATCAGGGGATCTACCAGGCCCATAGCAGCCACCGCCAATCCATAATGATCTCTGGCCTAGGTTGTTTATTCATTATCAAGAAATTTGTATATGAAGCTCTTGGAGGGGCAGGAGCGTGTGTGGTGCAGTGATCAGCCTAGCAAGAAGGTCCTGTGTTCAAATCTTGATTGAATGTGAGTGTGAATGGTTGTCTGTCTCTATGTGTTAGCGCGTCTACCGTTTGGCACAGGGCAAACACTCCTTTTTCCTTATGACATCTGGGATAGGCTCCAGCCCAACTGCAACCCTAAATTGGATAAGCAGAAGAAAATGGATGGATGCTTCTACTACAAATCTGGAAGCATTTAGTTCTTTGGACTCTTACCGGGTCTCAATAAATATGTGTCCCTATAGAAAAGGTAAGAAGCTACTGCTCGGCTGTGTATGCAGCAATAGGTTGCATCTGCTGTTGTAGTTTGGACTGTAAGGCTTTGTGTTTTTATGGGCCATGTGTGTCTCACTATCTGCCTGTCCTTTGAATGCCCACAAACTGTAGAGGCGGCAGACAAAAAGTCCCACTCTCATGGAGACTACTCTTCCCATCAGGCTTAGCTGACCTGGTTTCAGTGCAGAGCGGAGCAGTGTTACTATATCGCCACTCTACTCCTGATCTCAGAACGCTGATGTGAAAAGCCCGAAACTGAGCCGTAGCAGCATGGACTAACAGGGTTGTTTGTTTTGCAGGCCTGTTGATCCTTCAGTCAGCTGGATCGGCAGCAAACTTGAGTTTGTTTCCACTTTTAGCTACACTCAGCCATTTCTCAGAAGCTCTGCGTTTTTCTTTCAGACTGAATCCTCTCTCTCCATCTGGCACAAGAGGAAGTGAGAGACAGTTGGCACTTGCTCGTCCATACTGTATTTGTGGTGCTAAAATGGCATGTTCTACCTCATCCGTCCTCCTTCCTCTACCTCCCTCACCCTCTCCTGAGAGAAGTAACCCAGATTTCAAAATGAATCGCCGCCTATTCCCCTCAATCTTTCTCCTCTCTCTCTCTCTCTCTCTCTCTCTCTCTCTCTCTCTCTCTCTCTCTCTCTCTCTCTCCGTATTTCTGTTTTTACTTCCACTCTCTCTCCTTTTCTCTTTCTCTCGTCCTCCTCCTAGTAAAAACCGAATCAATCTTGGAAAGAGAATACCACCTCTCTATCTCGTCCTCCTCCTCACCCTGCCTCTGGGTTAACGGATATATATCACTTCACTTCTCTATATTTGGTTCCTAGAAAGCTTGAGTCTCTCAAAACGCTTGTTGCTTACCCATTTTTCATTTTTACATTTTTCTTTTCATTTTTTTCTTTTTTTGGGGCTGTTTTTCCCCTGCTAGCCACTGCTTTTTCTTCCCCCTGTTCTCTTTTTCCTGAGGTGACCAGCTACAGGTGTGACACCTTAGCCTTTCATTTGAAGTGAGCCAGACAGAGAGGAGGAGGAGAACACGAGGAGAAAGACATCTTCAGCTCAAAACTTTCCTCCAAAATTGTCCCAAATTCAGGTATTAAGTCTTTATTATCTTTTCCGTGTGAGTCTGTACAACATTTATTTCTTCTTGTCATTATTCTACTCATTACTGAGCCCTGTGCCATTTTTCTTACCGTCCACTTTCACGCCTTTGATTGATTTGCTCCTGCTTCTTTGCTGAGACACAAACATTTCATCACATTTCTTTTATGGTATGGGTTTTCGCTGTGGGCTTATTTATTTATTCATTAAATCTCTGTTGGTGTTTCATTTATCATTTAGTAGCGTGCAACTCTTGCACCACAATCTCTCCAGCTAATATTGCCGTTTTGCACTTTTTCCAGCGCATCTCATTCCCTATAGACATGTACATATTATTCTGGTCCAAACTTTTCTTCAGAAATGGGACTAATTGCTAAAAAAGGCAGGCAGGAAGATGAGGAGAAACCAGGCTCTAATATTGGAGCAGCTGGTGGGGGTGTTGTTGACATGGCAACAGAAGTACAGTTGACATAACGACCAGGGGGTAGGAAGGGAAGGGGGGTAGTCATAGCTGCGAGGGACATGGATATGCATGGGTAGCATGGGCAGGCAGTATGTGGGACGCAGCGAGTTGCACTAATCGTTTAGCGTCTCTTAAGAGACTCCTGTCTCAGCATGTGAATTAACCTCCCTGTCTCCTTCATTATATCTCTTCTTTCTCTTTCAATCTCTACCTGCCACTTTCCCTGTGCTCCCTCTTTTGCGCTGCACTTCCGGCCCATTCATCCCTTCTCGATCTTTCTCCTCATCGCGTCACTCTTTCACCGCTCCCTACCCTACATCCCATGTGCCATTAATACAACTTCTGACCCATTACACTTTTCATCCATCGTCCTCCTCCCGCTCCTCCTCCTTGTCCTTGCTTCCTCCTCTCCGCCCTCTCCTCTGTTCTATTCAAGGTCTTCTGCTCAAAGCAAAGCCTTCGTTACTAACACTCATCATCCAATCCCCCTTACCTTTTCATCTTTTTACCGCATCCTCCAGGCATCATGTCTACCCCAGTCTCCCCGTCCCCCTCGCTCTCCCCACTGACACTGGCCTCCCCTACATCTGCAACCTCCCCCAGTGCCTCCCCTCTGCCCTCGCCTCTCTCCCCTCCACCCAGGGTGCCCGTGTTTCAGAGGAAGGGAGCGCTCAAACACAAAAGGATTGTCGAAGTGAAAGACCACCAGTTTACAGCACGCTTCTTCAAACAGCCCACCTTCTGCAGTCATTGCACCGACTTCATATGGTAACACACGTACACACAGACTCACACACAGCTACACAGAAACCACCCCAACTGTTCAAACACCACCTCCTCAGGCATCCCACCACTCCACGTAGTGCTGACTTTCACTGCTTTTTTTTCTTTTCTCTTTCTTTCACCCTTTCCAGCTGCCTGCTGGAGAGACTGCCCACACTGACCTGCTCTGATCACATAACCTCACCTCCACACTGCCGCCCACATAATCCAGGCGTTACTTTAGGAACTCACACACGCCGATGCATTGATTTATATACTGAAAAAACACACACAAACAAGAACTTAATTAGAATATGAACTTTAGCCTGACTGCATTAAAACAGACAGGCACCAACCCTGAAGTAATTTAATTTTTTAGTAATAATTAACTTTCTTTTTTTAAAGGGGTACTCTTTAGTTTCATAAATCTGAAGGACTCATAAGGGATGGACTGAAGAATCTGAGATATCCACAATAATAATGCAGGAGTAGAAAACATTCAGTCTGAAATTCAGACTGAGACTTCAAAAGGGTTAATGTTTCAGACTTCTGCAGTCTCCTCCTGAGAGGCAAAACACATCATAGGATTGTTTTCACAGAGTTAGTAGTATGCTTTTTAATGAGTAAACTAAACCAAGCAGTAAAATACAGTAAAAAGCAGTAAAATACAGTAAAAAGCAGTAAAAATTCTAAAATGCAGTCGGTTTGGCACTGATAGAGTTTTACCATGTTTACTATCTGCTGTAATTGCTCCAGATGGTGCTGGACTGCATTTGGAGATTTGAGATTAATGTTACAGAAACTCTGACATTAATCTCAGAAACACCTAAATCCCAAACTGGGATTTGGTGTAAGTATTTAAGGTTTTAAGTATCTAGAAGTACATATAAGTATTTACAGGTGACTTTAATAACTTAAAATATTAGATTACCTTTAAAAAAAAAAACCTGAGAGTAAAATAACATACCAGTGCTTATCATCATTTATAACATTTATGCGCGTATACATGAATTTAGAATCAGATTTGACTTCTTTATGATCAGACGACACCCTGTGAGCGCGACCACTGAAGGCGCAGTAGTCTGTGTTTATCGTTGTGAGTGTAAGGGGCTGTGTGTTTGAACATATGGTGGGAGTGTATGTTGGATGCAGGGCGCTGTACGTGCCAGCAGCCTCTGGGTATCTTTCAGGACATTTCTCCAACTGGCTGCTGTCTTGGCAGTGGTAGCAGCTCTTAGATGAGGTTGAAAACTCTCTTATTTTGCACAAGATGTCAGAGCAGACGCTTTCAATCACGGTGTTAGAGGCCCCGGGGAGATTGTTAGATTAATTAAAGACTAAGGCAAGATTGTTCTAATTTGTAAATGTAAATATCTTGTTTATTAAGTCAAGGTCTTAAAGAGGAGTGGGTTGTACCTGTTTTGGCTCCTTTGGGTAATAACTAAGCTAAACTGTCTGAAAACATTAAAAAAGTGAAATTGCTTCGTGTCACAGTCCAGTCTTAGCATACTAACAAGGATCATAGTTTTTAAAATATTTGTTATGATACTTAAACCTTTTAACATCTACCAAGCTGCTGGTCACCTGCTTACTGTTAGGGTCAGATGGTATTATCCATATACTAAACAAGTGGATTATTTAAGGAAACATTGCATATATAGTGTCATTTTGGTCCTGTGTTTATTTTTTGTTTTGTTTTTTATTCTTTTACAAGCTTTTCCACTTGTGTGTGCCAAGTAGGACAAAAAAACCCTATCTATAAATAGACTGGATCCTAACCTAATCCTTATCCTAACCAGAGCACCTGGTGGATGTTAGGAGGCTGAAGAAGGCTGAATTGTGATTTGGCATAGATGGAGATCAGATTTGCTGGTCATAACATCACCATCAAGTGTCTCAATAAGCCATAATAGTGAGCCACATCAGAATGGTCTGAAATTAAAGCATCCGTATTGTCAAGGTAGAGACAAGTCTCCAGTGTGTCACAGAGCTAACAACAGGACACACAATTTCATGCTCACATTAGCATCTGGAGCCAAATTAGAATCACCGGTTAACCTAACATGCATGTCTTTGGGCTGTGGGAGGAAGCCAGCAAACTTGGAAAGAATCCACACAGGCACATGCATCCTCACAGAAAGGCCCCAGCCAGTCATCGGGTTCAATCTCGGGCACTTCTTGCTGTGAGATAACAGTGCTAACCACTGCACCGCTGTGCCACCAACTGCAGCATCCATCCATCTAGTTATCCAATAAGGGATTGCAGTTGGGCTGGAGCCTATCCAAGCTGTCATAGGGCGGGAGTTGGGGGGGGTACACCCTGGACAGCTCGCCAATCTATTGCCGGGCTCACACAGAGAGGCAGACAACCATTCACGCTCACAGTCACACCTATGGCCAATTTAGAATTACCAGTTAACACCTAACAAGCATGTCTTTGGACTGTGCCAGAGTACCCGAAGGGAACCCATGCAAACTCCACCCATAAAGGCCCCAGCCGGCTGATGGATTCGAATCCAGGACCTGCTCGCTGTGAGGGGACGGTGCTAATTACCATCAGAGAGAGTGTCATAGATTCTCTATCTGCAGCAGCAAAATTCATTTGTTTATTATGTGTTTGTTCTATTGTCACATGTCAAAGTGTGTTTTTTGATAAAGAGCTTTCTCAAAAAAAAGCTCCAAGAGGGGTTAGTCTGATTTTTTTATAGAAGCATTTTATTCAATTGCATGTGTTTGGTAGATTTTTTTCACATCATTAATTCAAAATGCAGTTATCCCCTACATTAAATTCTCTGTGATATCTGGCCAGAAAGCAGCTCTGTGAATCCTCACCATATCTGGTTCTCTAATGCTCTCTGCTGGTCAAAAAGCAGAACTGGTCGGATGCATTTGGTGCTGCAGACACGGACTTCTGTTGAGTGCCTATCAAGGATCAGATTACCCTCAGCAACCCTTTCTTTAATTATTACTCAGCCAGATGGTGAACTGATTGTAGATCAGTGATTATGGTCAGTTTCCTATGAACCCCTGAGCCTCTCCGGTATGACTGTAGAGGAGCTGTCGAGGTCTCTCGTTTGCCTGCCTTTCTAAGTCTTCTAATCAAAACTTGATCCACAACAGGCAAGCTGCTGAGTGGACTGTTTAGTCAATCAATGACTTAATTATTCAATTAAAGCTTTAAGGAGACCATGGAAGCTAGCCAACATTGCAGAAGCATTGTATTGGTGTGTGTGCGTGTAAGTGTTTGACCTGGTCAGCGGTGAGGCTTTGAAAGGAAAAGCACTCAAACTTCACACATAATGACTTAGTATATCAAGTTGTTGGTGTTTTTTTGTCTTTTTATGAGACAATTTGTTCTCCACTAGAGTCTGCATTCCTGTCTTTATACAGTGCAGAGTAACGCAACAGCAATATCTCATTCTCCAAAGCTAAATATTTCACCTTAAGGAGGACTGCAGAAAATTGTTTTTGTATCTTAATCCATGTGTCTTTTTCACACAGGGGCATTGGGAAACAGGGATTCCAATGTCAAGGTAGAGATAAACCTAGCATTATTGCCTTTCCTTGCAGCGTTAATCTTCTCTGATGTATTTTTTGTCCTGCAAAGCAGATTCATTCTGAGATGTTTGCTTTCTCTAGTTTGCAGTTTTGTGGTCCACAAAAGATGTCACGAGTTTGTGACCTTCACGTGCCCCGGCTCTGTGACCGCCCCCAGACCAGATGTGAGCAGACATATCTTTTCCCTTCTTATTTTCGGTTTTTGTGAAGATTTGCATCGTCATCATCATTTTTCAACATCCTTTGATGACAGTAGCATGTGTGCGTGAGTCAGCCATCAGTCCATGCATCTTTCTCATCATGCAGCCTGTTTCCATCCATGACGTCTGCACTCATGTCGTGCAGTCCTAGAAGGCATCTGAAATGCTGGGAGTGGGAGATAGGGTGTGGGGGAGACACAGGTGGAGGGCAGGATGGACTGATAAGAGTGAGAATTAGAGGGGGGAGAAAGAGAGCGAGAGCCACAGACTGCTCAGTCTTCTTCTGTGTGGCATTTTGAGGATTTCAGGGAGATTTGTCTTTCACTCACATTTTTTTTCTACCAGCTAAATAAACTGCCTGAGAATTGAGGTCAATGAGAAAATGTGTGTGTGTGTGTGTGTGTGTGTGCATGTGTGAGAGATCGAAAATGGATGAGACAGTGAAAGAACACACAGAGGGAAAGAGAAGAAACAGGGTGACAGTTTTTAAATAGCGACTCAGTGCGACAAGGGAGGGAAAACAGTTTGGGAGAAGGTGGTGTATGAAGCGTGGCGGTGGGGTGGTCTGATGAGCTGAAGAGAGATAAAAATGATTCATCCCTCTGTGCACAGTATATACACGCTCACACACACGCAGACACTGTGTGTCCTCTCCGAGTGGAGAGATCTAATTGGCTTGTCCACGAATGCCCCACTCATCTTCTCTCCGCTAATCACGCTCTGCACGTGTGTGTGTGTGTGTGTGTCTGTGTGTGTGTTCCACAATCATCGTATGTATGTGTGTGTGAGAGAGAACGAGTTCTCAGCGCAGATTGTTTTTCTGTTTTATTTCAGGACCTGAAGAGTCGACACACATTTAAGATCCACACGTACTCCAGCCCTACATTTTGTGACCACTGTGGCTCGTTGCTGTATGGCCTCATACACCAGGGCATGAAATGTACCAGTGAGTTTCACTCCACTCTATGAGATACATAAATCTACGTGCTTCGAGCCTTTATTAGCTATTATGCTCAGATGAATATCACTCCACATATGTACATTGCTGAAACTCACATCTGGAGAAGACTTCCAGCTATTATTATCATTAATCTTTTTTTCTTTTCTTTTTTTTTTTTGGCTAAGATAAAGGAATAGTTAGTCACTAAAAAAAGAAAAGAAAAAGCGCTTGTTCACTTTCTTGCTGAGAATTAGATGAAGAGTTTGGAAACTAGTGGAGAGTCCAGGAGGCTTCTATACCCCGTGAAGAATGTCTGGCACATACCAACCAATAATTTCAGAACTTGCTCACATAAATGTTCTTGTTTTTTGAAAGCTAGTGAAGCCCACAACCACTATTCCTCATCTCATCTTTTTAATTATTATGCTTAATAAAGCTAGTGGATTTAGACTGATTACAACTAATTACTCCACATGTATCCAGCGCATGTCTGTGTTCACACTTTGTCTTTTGTGCGTCTTTGTGTGGTGAGGCTGTGACATGAACGTCCATCGGCGATGCGAGACCAGCGTCCCCAGTCTGTGTGGCCAGGATCACACAGAGAAGAGAGGGAGAATCCATCTGACCATCAGAGGAGAAAAGGAGGACGTCTTTGTCACAGGTGGGAGGACCCGCTGGATTCAACCAATTTAAACAAAAAGCAGGCTTCTGCAGGAAATGTAAGGTTTCTCTTCTTTCCTTTTATTGTTTCACTGCTGTTTCAGTGCGGGAGGCTCGTAACTTGATGCCCATGGACCCAAATGGCTTGTCAGACCCGTATGTTAAACTGAAATTGATTCCAGACCCAAAGAGCCACAGCAAACAGAAGACTAAGACCATCCGCTCAACACTCAATCCCGTCTGGAATGAGAGCTTCACCTTGTGAGTCCTTGCAAACTTTAGGGTTGAAAATTTACAGGGTTCTGCCACAAACGTTGCTATATGTAAAATCGGATTACTCAGCGGCGTTAACCTTTACTTTCTTATAGGTGCATCTTTGATATCCAGGGGAAATAAGACATTTCAGCAAAGGTCACACTGAAAAGGGATGATTTCGTTCTATGCTTTGTGTTTCATCATGTATCAAATTGTCACAAGTGTGTGTTTGACTCCTCAGCTCCGTGCGTGGTCACCAGTGGGACAGGCGTCTGTCTGTGGAGATATGGGACTGGGACCGGACGTCTAGGAACGATTTCATGGGAGCGCTGTCGTTTGGCGTGAGTGAGATCTTCAGGCGTCCAATCAGTGGTTGGTTCAAACTGCTGGCCCAAGATGAGGGAGAGTACTACAACATTCCTGTGCCAGACCCGGACCTGCAGGTAGGCAGCAGGCTGCTTTATATGGACATAAAGCCATCAGATGGGCTCAAGGTGAACAAAAAGCAAGTGACGGGATATTTATACCTGTATTCACCAGGAAGTGGAGCAACCCTTTATTTTGTGCCATGCCTTTGACCATTCATCCTTAGACCTTGGCATAGCTTTTATCAGCTTATAATTACCTACATCTAACAAACAGCAGCTGCCACAGCTCATACTGGGTCAGCGTCTGTCCTGCTGAACTATCCCGTTTCCTACAGTTCTATCTAAGGAAGAAAAAAAAAACTTGGAAGATTAATGCCGGTGTTATTGCTAAATAATTAGATAATAAATTATACTGAGTGCCCTTTCTTCTCTGTTGCACTCTGCATCCACCAGGGTGCAGAATTGTGCTGCCTGACTGCAGTCCAAAACTGGGGGGTAGGAGGGAGTTTGAGGTTTGTCTTGGGTTCCTGTTTTATGGATCTGTGTGGGTGTGTGTCGTTTATCTCTCGAACATCCCATTTTATTTCTCCAGGAGCCTCAGCCAGATGCTACTACACCTTCTTTGCCTCAAGCGATGCCTTCCCCGCTGTCTGAACCATTTCCCGTGGCCCTGTCCCCGACCCTCATTCCCTCCTGTCCCCCTGTCCACACTCCGGGCCCTGGCAAAGTTAAAATGGGCATCCACGATTTCAACTTCCTCATGGTTCTTGGAAAAGGCAGCTTTGGCAAGGTAAACGAAATGCCATCTTTTCTTTTGTACACACAATCATCACCTCTTATCCAGCAACTGTGAATGATATCAAAGAGACCATTCATGCTGGAAACAACAAAGATTATTCCTGGATTTAAATCCTTTCTTCTATCGATGGACTTGACCTTCAAGTGGCATTTCATGCAGCAGCTCCCAGGCACAGGAAACCAGAATTTCTTTGAAAAAAATAATAAATTACCCTTTCTTACGAACATACTCACTGTCTTTACTTCTGCTGCCAAATGATTCATTTAACCCTTTTCTGCTTTTGTGTTGTCAGCAGTCGTGAGCTTCCCACATGCTACACAGGCAGTCATCTTGGAGGTGTTCATTTCAAGGGAGCCTTTGCTCTCCATTTTCTCTTTAATTCCCCAGTAGATGAGACATAATGAAGAGAGAGGAGTTTTGAGTCCTTCTTCCTCTTCTGAAATCCCCCTGTGCTGTTTCATAACTGTCAGAGGAGAGTCTACAGAGGACAGGAGAAATAGACTCGACTTACGTAAGATGTGAGGAGAGAGGAAAAAAAAAAAAAAGGACCCAAGAAAGGAGAGACAGACCCCGGGGCTGCTGAGTGAGGGAAAGTGAGAAGGAGACAGACAGAGATAGAGGGAAGAGAGAAGGATTACTGTGCTGCAGAAAGTGACAAAATGACCAAAAAGGAAATGGGATAACAAGAGCGGCAAATAGAAAAAGTACATGCTACTAAGATTTGTAATATTCTGCAGGGTGATGAGTCCTATTTTTATGTGAGTTGGTTTAAAACCACGACACAGAGCAGGAGACACGATCACAGATGGTAGGATTTCTCCTGCTGACTGGCAGTTCATCAATAGCCCTGCACACACACACACAGAGGGAGTGATCTTAGCGTAGTCGCACTGTTTTATATATATATTTTTAAAAACGGTGTAATTTTCAGTGCTATTCACCTCCACTTGAAAGTAAAATGAGATCCTTAATTTCCACTCGCCTCTATTACAGCTCAGCACTGAGGGTTGATCATTTCTAACAGTGTTGTTGTCAGCATTTTCCATATTTATTGACCATATTTATCTCAGTGAAACCTGGATCACGTGGCACTCATTGTGGAAAATTATAGCATCATTAGCACTCAGAGCTACCCACGAGCAGCCAGTTTAATAGGAGTGAGAAAATGTGTTTTTAATGTCTGATTAAAACACGAGAGCAAGCTTTTAGGGCTTTCCCTGTCCACTCGAGACATTAATGTCTCGAAACCCTCAGGCCTGTTTCAACTTTAATTAAACTTTACATTGAGTTATTTCATCATACATGTACATTACCAAACTTGCTGTTATCCATTCTGAAGTTATAACTTTTTCTTTTCCTCTTGCACTATATATGCCTTTTATTCATTTTACACGGGCGCTGGTTTATTTAAACAGTGGAACTAGTTTTCTCCTGCGACCAGTGCACCTCATCACTGCTAACACAATAACCTAAAAAACACTCAGACCTGACTGCAGTACAGCACGTCACATGCATGGCTGTCTTTGGAGCGAGAAGAGTTGCATTGGGGATTTTTTTTTAAGTCTGAGAGGACTTTATGCCAAAGTTATAGTCATTTTTTTAAAGCTGCTCCTGGTTTGCTGCTGTTGTGTTATCCGTTCAGAAATGTTCAAAGGTGACTTTGGAATTTTGGGGAAATTGTGTTTTCTCGACTCTCTAACATTTCAACCCGAAAGCCAGTCCTGTGTTTTCTGTAAACATTTTGTTTATTTATGGGTTTTGAAGACATACGGTAGCTGCTTTGCAGACTTTTGGGATTCACGCTTGTCTCCTTGTTTCTTCAGAAACTTTCTCTTCTCTTCCCGCTCCTGCACAGGTGCTGCTGGCAGAGGAGCGAGGCAGCGAGCGTCTGTTTGCCATAAAAGTGCTGAAGAAAGACGTTCTCTTCCAGGACGAGGACACGGAGAGCGCTCTAGTAGAGAGGAGGGTTCTGGCGCTCCTTTCTCGTCCTCACTTCCTCACGTCCCTCTACTGCGCCTTCCAGACTGAGGTGTGTGGGTATCTGGGTTCCCAAATGATCAATCTAAATTTCATTAAATTGGCCATAAAGCTGCCTGACACTTTGGCTGCATCGTCCTCCCAGGAGTTGTTTCGGTCCAGGTTGGGCGAATTCCGATTAATAAATGAAATAATTAGCTTGCTTTCTTTAACAAGGTCCTCGGTCCTGAAGGAGGTATTTTAACAGATTGCTTTTTAATTTGGACAAGAGGTGCTTATGCATGAGGAGCTTGTGCATGTGTGTGTGTGTGTTTTTGCTTCTGCAGGACCGACTGTATTACGTGATGGAATATGTCAACGGAGGAGACCTGATGTTTCACATTCAGATAGTTGGGAAGTTCAAAGAGCCTCACGCAGCGTATGTAGTCAAAAAGCTCCTTTAATCACCGTCCTTATCTACACAAAGTCTCATTTCCTGCCTTTTTGTTCTGTGCTCTCTTACATACACACTCGTCCCTTAGCTTTGTTCATTATACCTGGTGACTCATAAAAAGTCATCAACTCAAGTGCCAGCCCTTTTCTCTTCCCCGACTTTCTCCTCCCACTAATCTTATCGTATCATCTACATTCTCCCTCCCCCTGGCTGTTCTTCTAATCAATAATCTTTGATCAATTATCTAAAACAAATTTTTGCCCTGTTGCTCATTTCCATCTCTCTTTCTTCATTTTCCTGCCTTTCATCTCTTTGGTTGCTTCTCCCTTTCATCACCCTCTCCAGCGCCATTCCCTCTCTCCTAACCTCTTGTCATCATCCTCTTTTGAATTAGCTGATTCTCTGTCCCTCCTTCTCCTCCTCCTCTCTCCCTCCAGGTTTTATGCGGCAGAGATAGCGGTCGGCCTCTTCTTCCTCCACAGCAAAGGCATCATCTACAGGTAAAGAAGTGGGCTGCTTCATAACGTGGCCTGGTTTGCCCGTGTTCACTTCAGTCTGCGTTCGGCACAGACACGACACAGATTTATCATGTCTCTTGTAGCTAATGACTGTTATAAAGATGGTATCTATCAAAGTGATTCATACCTGTGTGGCGTTTCTCCCCTCTCAGGGATCTAAAGCTGGATAATGTGCTGCTCGACAGCGAGGGCCACATAAAGATAGCAGACTTTGGGATGTGCAGGGAGGGCATGTTCGAGGGCGACACCACACGTACCTTCTGCGGCACTCCTGACTACATCGCCCCTGAGGTACCGTGACCGCTGCCCTCACGCTATTGTCCACAGTCACTCCTGATATTTCCCTCATTTGTTCCTTATTTTCCCTCATTTTCCCTCATTTCACCCCTCTTAGTTTGCTTGACCTGTTCTGCATTGCCGCGAGACGCCGAGTTGCTTCGCTGCAGCTCCCCCTCGTCTCTTCTGTCCTCTCTGACCTTGTCAGCAGTTTGTGAATAATTAACTTCACATGATTCAGTAAGCAGTGGTGTGTGATTGTACTATGAGAGTGTTGCATAGAAGTCACTACTGTCCTTCAGAGACATTGTTTTACGAGCATAGCGCCGCTTTCTCACAGCCGCTGACAGGTTTAACTTGCATGTAAAGTCTTTATTTAAAAATAGTTAAACAAACCACTACAATGGGTAGCTTGCCCTTGCTCATACCCGGCAGTTATAAATTTTGCCAACTTTACTTTTTAGTACATTTCCAGAAAATGTAGTGAGGTTTATTTCATGTTATTATGGGATTTCAGCAGTCTGTAAAATTAAGTAGGTTTTTATTTAAAGTTATGGTTAATGAGTTGAAGGAAGCAAACAAAGAAGTGTTTGTGTTGAGCTGCGGTGGAGCACCTAAAAAATGATTCTTTGCCCTCATAAACATGAAAGATGAAAGGTTGTTAAGTAATGAATAATTAAGGAAAATATCCTTGGTATAAAATGAGTGTATACCAATAAAATACATTTCTTTTGACCAGATTCCATTGAAGTTAATGTTCCACATTGTACCTATGCAATAGTATTACATTGAGAATTTACATGTAATCACATTACTTCAAGTCAGCAGTTTATTTTTCTGAATGATAGGAAAAGGGTGGCAAAAAGCTCGGCTATTATCTGTATTTTTTTTTAAAGTAGAGAAATCCGTTTCATCGGTCAGTATAAATTTGTAACAAAGAAATCCTGTTTCAGTTTTCATGTGCGCCACTGTCTGTGGTTGAAGACGGAGCTGAAATTGTGTGAACATAATGAGATGAAGCACCAAAAGACTAAAAGGGATGTCACTAATGTCAGTGCAAATATCAGCCGCAGTGAAATAATGAAAAAGCAAAGGTGGTTTTGCTTGACGTTCTTTTGATATGTAAACCATAACTGTCTGCCTGTATAATGTTTACCTTACAAATTGTTGGAAATGCGTATGTGCCCCTTACCGTGTGAAGTGATCTTAAACAATTTACTTCAGAGAAGGCGTGAAGGCGCATCTCGGTCGGTGGACTCGTAGCTGAGTGATACGGGGGGGGGGGGGAGAAAGTGGGGAAGCGACTGTTGTGTGCGTCTTTGATATTGTAAACCTTGCTGTGGAACCCCTGGGTATTGACTCTGTTATGTAAACACCCATTGATTCTCCTGTGTCTGCCATTTTGGAAGAGTTGCAATATATTTCCCCAGAGGCTGGGGATTGTTCCCTCGTGCCCCTCTGCACAGCACACCACCACCTCCCCCTCCTGGCATCCACACACACGCGCGCACGTATCGGGGAAACAAACAAACAAACACACACACAAGCTTGTGAACACAAGTGCAAATCCAAATCCGTGTGTTGATTATTTCTGAGCTCATTCACACATGAACCCTCCCTTACGCCGCACTTTATCCTTTCGCTTCTCTCTGTTTTTCACCCCTGCTGTTTCTTGTAGCTGCATATCATCCAAGCAGCCAGCTGCCTCTCTCTTCCTATCGCTGCACTGCCATTCTTCCCCATTTATATCTTCTCATACATTCTCCATCCTTTTTCCCTCCCCCAGATTGTGGCCTATCAGCCCTATAATAAAGCAGTGGACTGGTGGTCTTATGGAGTGCTGCTGTATGAAATGCTGGCAGGACAGGTAACACTCAGCTTAATCCTAACAATAGCGTGCACAGACACTTTAAGCCCCCAGTACTTGTCCTTTGTAATCACTTCAAAAGACTTTCAAAGAACTTTAATTTCATTATATTCGTTATCAATTTGCCCACAGGTCTGTGCTTAAACTCTTCCGCTCTCTCCCTCACTCTCTTTTCCTTTAAGCCGCCATTTGATGGCATTGACGAGGAGGAGCTGTTTCAGTCCATCATGGAGCAGAGTGTCTCATACCCAAAAAGTCTCTCTTGGGAGGCTGTAGCTATCTGCAAGGGAGTGAGTTCAATCCTCGTTTCTCATATTAACTTTTAACACACGGGCAATTAAGATAAAAGTTCATGTACTGTAAATCAGGAAATGAAATAACTCTTTACTCGTGCAAGATTGTATTCGGTCGCCTAAAGGAATAGTTTTTGGAACTATGTTAATTTGCTTCTTTACAAAGAGCTGGACCGACACCACTTTTACAACTGCCTGTTAGATATCAGGCTGGAGGCAACCAACTTTACTCTTCAGCGCAAAACTTTTTATTTTTACACTACAGTGTTTTTATCCATGTTTTGGACAGTTGAGTTTTATTACTCACAAATAGTGAGTAAGAACTGTTTTGTTTTTTTTCCGGTTGTTTATGCATAGCTAAGTGGCTGCTGGCTGTAGCTTCATAATTGGTGTACAGATAGCAGAATCTTAATGATCTTCATCTCTCTGCAAGAAGCAAACAAGCATAATTCCCAAAAAATGTCAAGGTTTTTCAAAGTGATAGTGCAATAAAAATCCATTCGTTGGCAAGACAACAAAGGAATTGGATTACAGTACATGATTCCAAAATAAAGCAAAGCTTATCATGCACACCGACTGCTCTAACCGAGGCAGATCATAAACAGAAGTCATTTATTGTATCACATTATTATCCCAGCCTAGTCGCTTTTTCTCACATTTCTCCCCTCATTTCCTCCTCTCTTGACTCAGCTCCTGACAAAGCACCCGGCCAAGCGCCTGGGTGAAGGAGAAGATGCAGAGAGGGAGATCAGAGAGCATCCGTTCTTCCGCTGGATTGACTGGGACCGTCTGGAGAGACTGGAAATCCCGCCACCTTTCAAACCCAGAACTGTCAGTTCAGTTAAACAGATGAACCACATGTTCCTTCTTTCTTCCTCCTCCTCCTCTCTTTCTTCTCTTCTCTGCCTCTCTGAGGACACTTATAGGGAATTGGAGCTGTCACTTTCTTCCATCTGTCTCCTTTTTCTCTGACTCCCACATTGTCCCTCGTTTCCCTGCGTGTTTCCTCCACATTTGCCTTGGCCTTTTCATTCCCTCTTCCTCTCTCTGTCTCTTCCTCTCTCCCCTTCACATCCCCTCTATTTCCTCATTTATCACCTCTTTGGGTTCTTAGATAGGCTTTAAGAGCTCAGGAACAGACAGTTCAGTCATAACAGACAAGACCTTCTGACCTTGGGGTCTTGCCTACTCCTCCCATATGCAAATGTATGTCATCATTAGCCTGCCACTTGCCAAAGTGCCGGCGCACTGGCCGTTTGTGAGGTGTGCCTTGAGTGAGCCGAGTATGCTCAGGGGTTAGAGGCCAGGCCCATTAGCCAAATGAGATTCATATCATTCGGCAGAACGGCTGTCATATGCTGTTAGGCATCTGGGGAGGATATGTGATCAGCTTTCTTCCTGTGTGCTTCTGTAGTGAGATAAAAGGAGGTCTCAGTGAGGAAAAAACGTGGGGGTGGATTCTTTTTATAGTTTAACATTTTTAATAAACTATTTTTGTTCCAGGGGGAGGGATTTTGTAAAGTTTATTGTGGATGCAATATCATGCATGCATGAAGATGTGCCCCAATCTCAGTCTTGTGTGTACATACCTTCTCTTCTTCTTCATCGCCAGGGTGGGAAAAAAGGTGAGAACTTTGACAAGTTCTTCACAGCTGCTCAAACGGCGCTCACCCCCTCGGACCCGGATATACTCGCAGCCATGAACCAGGAAGACTTCGAAGGCTTCTCCTTCATCAACCCAGACTTTGCTCCGTCACCGCTCACCGCTGTTTGAAAACGGCTCCCAAATCTGCTCCAGCCGCCGTTCCAAGTCTAGCCAGATGATCCTGTTATCCTTCCGATTGTAGTTTTATAGCAGAGAATTTGAACGTGAGAGCTAGCAGCGAGTATTACACCTCTCATAACCAAATTCAGACGTTTACATGAAAATGCCAAGACACCTCGATTTTCGGGCACTCTCTTTGATGCATGTCTATTAACTCACTCATCACACAATGTGTATCAACACTGCAAACATAGTCAGTACTATGGACTGCCATCTTAGACTTTTTTTATAAGACTTAACTTGATCTAAAGGTACTGTAGTATGAACGTGAGAAAAATAATCTCTATGCATGCAGATAGTTTTTATAGCACTAGACTATCCAAGGCAGATACTTTACTTTCCTTTCCTTTAAGTAAAGTAGTCATATGTTGTGCACACGTGCAATTTACCAGTTATATTTCACCAGTCAGGGTTTCATTCATGCAGCTACAATGACCACACAGTATGTAAAAGCAGGACATCTCACCATTTTGATGCCAATTCCACCTTAGCACTTTGTATTGTCCATTGCAAGTACTCAGCATCAACAGCACTTAAATGTTTCTTTCTGACTACCTACAGTATCTCACTCTGGGGTTTTTTGTGCTCTCTATTTTGGATAAATGACATGTTGACTATGAAGCAAATTGAGCGGGGAGCCATTTTTAGATATTTGTGTATTTTATAAGAGAGGCGTCCTGTGGAAGCGCTTAGTCAGACTCCTCTGACCTGGCTCGACCTCAAGGTTTAACGACTTCAGATGACCCACTGAGATGTTTAAACAATGCAGTTATCACAATGTGACAGTTAGGGTGGACCACAGCTCTGCTCCACCCACCCAGGCTCACACTGTGTGGTGTGTAATGTCACTGGAAGGGAGTCCTCATTTGACATTCACAGTTTATCTGCATTATTATTATTTTTTTATTCTTGAGCACGCTATGGAATATGGCCTATCTGCATTGCAACTACAAATATCCTATTACTCCAAGTAAACATTACAGTTTTATCAATAAAAGCCTCTTTTTAATGTCTTTCCCAGACGAGAGGCTTGTTAGCTTGCACAGGTACATATACTTATGATTTTAATGGTGTATGCCGTAAAGCTTTTTGCTGTGTAATGATGTGCTCACAGTATTGATTAGGAGTAATTAAAAGTGAGGCTCACTGGGACTGTTCAATACGTGGAAAAATAACAGCAGTGCTGTCATTAAGCCCTATCTGAGCAGAGCAGGTGGCTGCAAACTTGCTGTGCAAAAATCTCATCCCCGTGCTCTTATCTAATGAACCAGCTGGTCATTTTACACATAAATATGCTTTATTTCTTTGATTCTTTTTTTCATGTACAGTTTTGCTTTACATCTGTTTGCCTGTTATTTTAGATCCGATTGAGCCAAAGTCAGATGTCAGTGCACACAATCCCTCAGTACGATAATTACAATAGATGATGATCAATAGTGCAATAGATCATTGATAGATCATGTATCTGATAGGTTTTGTTTTTATGTGCTGGAAAAAGAAAATAAAGTTGATGGGAAAAAATGATGAAACAGCACCAGTGAAGTGTCTCTTTCTGTGATGGCGTGCGAAGCTGCTGACAAACAAACACGCACGGCCTCTCGCTTTGTCTTCACTACGAGCCTGCCTCCCTGTCACGCTCCTCCCCGCACTTTCACACATACTCACGCTCAAAAGTGCAATCCCTGGCATGTGAACACACTCACGCACGGAGAAGATGCTGACCCCTCTGTTCAGTGGGCTACTGTAGCTGTTGAACCAGCAAAAACACCTCTCAGGCATCTCCCTCCGTGCCCTCCTCCTCTGAAGCAGCCCCCCCCCCCCCCCCCGGCCCCTCCAGCATCACCATGATGGGACTAATATCCCTGTGGAGATCTGAGTTATAACAAGTTGACCTTCACATTAAAATCTCATCAACTTCCCATCTCCCTGTCTACTTCCCTCCCTTCTCTATCTGCCCTTCATCTCTGTTCCCCTCTGTTTGTCTTTTCTGTCAGTTCTGCACTGTAAATGCTTTACTGCATCGTTGTACATCATTCTTCAATAATCACCTGTCCAAATTTATTGTGTTGCTTGTATCTCTTTGAAATACTCCTGTTGCTGGCTGTTGATATGTGTAGCTTGTCTTCTCCCGGCCTCTACATCAGTATTATGATCTGATTTACACTTATACAGTATTTTCTATGCTAATGGTGTTCAGGCAGTGGATATGTAGGAGTATAATTTTGAGTGGACTATATCATATAAAAGCATATTTTAATGAAAAAAAACCTTCTTGATCTTTGTGTTGATTTATTTCTTTATTTTTAAAAAAGCCATTGTTCATACTTGCTTACGTTAAAGTGACTTTAATCTGAATATACCTGAGGTAGATATGTTTGTAATGACAGATAAACCTTCTTAATTGTCTGGGATATGTTTCTAATCTGCAGTGCAGACCTGAAGAGTGTCAAACAGAAAATAAAGCACGTAATGACACTTTTCCTCATCAGCCTGTTTCTTTTACATCTAAAGCTGATTCTTAACTTCCATCACAATCTTTTCTCTAGCACTGACAGCATCAGCCTTGGTGTAACTGAACCACCAGCGCTCAGTGGTTGGAGTTGTATGTGCAGTCCATCATTCACTGTCACTCTGACACGATATCATCCCCCTCCTTCGCCACTGCCTCCTCTGCTTCTATCTCTATCCTTCGTCGCTCCTATCGCGCCTCAGTCTCTTATTCTCGCCCCCCTTAATCTCTCACTCTCGTTCTCGCTCGTGCCCTGAGGTCAGAGTGTGCTGTAGACTATTGATATCGTTGCTAAAAATATATGAATCCTCCACCAGCCAGCTAAAAATAGAGTAAGGGACACAGACCACAGGAGACAAAGAAGGAGGGGACAGGAGGAGAACGTGAAGGAGAGGTTACTACACGTTTTTCTGATATTCATCAGTACTGTGGGGTTGAATGAAAGTCCTTATTCAGTCATTAGTTATCTACTGTGCGATACTGAGGGTAGGTAATCTATCGTTTGTGTTTATTTTCAAAACTCCACACAGCAAATGTGTGAAATTTGGAGTTTTTCACCCTTTCCATCCCTAAAGATACTCACTAATGAGTCCTCAACTTTTTTCGTTCAGCTTCTCTTGGCTGGAAAACGTTATATTTATTATATAGTGATATATAATATTGTATATTACTGTTCATCGTGTGAGAAAATTATTGCAAATGTTTACCACATGGACGTTATTTATTCCCTTAAAATCATTTTAAAAGATGTGACATCAAGTAATTTATAGAAACTGTATGCTCATGGCAGCTTCTGTGAAGGTTGCTGGGACAGTTTCAAAGAGTTTTAAAGAGTGAGTACAAAAGCAAGTATTAAAAAAAAAAGCCTATATTATTTTCTTTAAATGTGACAACACATCCAGAAAAATTGATGTTAAAAAGGATGAGTGAGTATTACTATACAACAGTTTATACAGTGAAGTGCGATATGACATCACTCCACTCCACCTCTCTCTCTCACACACACATACTCACATATACTCTCTCTCTTTCTCTCTCACTCTCTCTCCCTTCGACACTTTTACCCCCCTGCTCCCGCTACAGTATGTCTCTTTGGTAACCAAAGTAGCTTCCTGAACCGATCCACCGCAGTGCCTGGGACAGACGGAGTGAAAGAGAGAGTGAGGAATTTTAGAGGATGGGTAAGGGGGCTTAAGGGAAAACACACAGAGGAGAGAAGAAGACAGGGAGAGAGAGAGAGAGTAAGAAGGAAAGGGGAAAAAGGAGAGAAGAGAGTGAGAGGAGAGACAAAACCCCAGCAAGCCTCCCTGGTGTGAGGTTTCTTGGCTTACTGACGTGTACGCACGACTCTCGTGGCACGGTGAGTATTTCCCCCTCTCATTGAATACCTGCATTTATGCGTCTTTTCGTAGGAATTATAATCATGACTCCCCGTTTTGTTTCGTCTTTTTAACCCGACTTAAAATGTACGTGCCTGTGTGACAGCTGTGAAAAGAGCTGAATTCATAAGTCGTGTTAGCGTAAAGATAGCCGCTCGTGCTCCAGTGAGAGCGCACGCGAGGTGGTGGTGGGGGGCAAAAAATGTTCTTACCTGACAGCTAAGTCGTTGAGCAGCTCTATTTATTTTACCCATTCCGGTTTTTCAACGTGAGTCGCTCACATGTTCCCTGCTCTGTGTTTATCATCTCAAAACTCCGCGTGTGAGTGCGTGTGACAGCTGCGGGGGTGGGGGGCTAAACAAACCCGTATAGATGCTCGTGTGACTGCCTCACTCAGTACTAGGGTGTTCTTTTGCGGGTACGTGAGAGTATAGTGGCAGTGTTTATCTATCCGCTTTGCACCGTGAAAAAAAGAGAAAGAAATGATGCGAGTGGATTGTCAGAGTGTGTCTGCGCAGAAACCACGAGCAAAACCTTCTACTGAGTCATGGTATCCACGTTTAGTTCCCGTGAAGTCTTTTATTTCCTAATGAGTGGTTTCATTGATTTCTCCAGGGCTGACAACCAGTGCACACCTTTTAATTCGGGGTACGCGCACTCCCGTCGTGCGCGTCCATGTCGAGTACTCCTTCCATTTTTTGGGCCAAGGTCTTTTCTCGTGTTAACCTATATCTTCTCGATACACTCCTTCTGTGCCTGTCTTTAAAAGATCTCTCCACACGTAGTTCGTCCCCATCTTCTCTTCTTTCTGCTGCTTTTGCTTTCGTTTTATTTAAGCTGGGTTGTTTCTTTCACATCCTCTCCTCTTTTCCATCACTGCCTCTTTCTTTCTTGGTGTCTCTTTCCTGAGAGGCTTACAGGTGATGTCAGTCTGCAGATTGTGACAGATTGGAGTGAATTAAACCTTTTGTCCCCCTTGTGGCTCCTATCTAACCAATTCAATTGGCTCATTGCTTTCAGGATGAAGGAGCTGAGGGGCTGTGTCAGAGCACTAAAATGGGATTGTTATCACAAATCTAACAGGAAACTGGTTTTTTTTCTCCTTTGCTCTTTTTTTCAAACTCAAACCCAATCTTAAGTCTGAGTGCTTATTTCTTCAAAAGCCACAGCAGCCCTTTAGAAGATTTCTGGCACAATAAATCAGTGCTTTTAATTTTTAATCCCAATCTCTTACGAGCCAGCAGGTCGTATTTTTGTTGTTGTTCTTGGATTTCAGTGTGTTTCTATGACGTTGTGCTCAAAAACAGGGTGCTGTCCGTGGTGCTGAACAAGTCTGAAAACAGGGTGCTGTCCGTGGTGCTGAACAAGCCTAGGAGAGCAACTCGGGCACATCAACTCGTTTGTGCAATTTTGCAACTCCACTTTGATTCACACTCGTTTCTGACCACTCTGGCATTTCCTCCAACAAGTTGGGAAGTGTGATTATTTCTTCGTGAGCCCACTCCTCTGTGTCCTCTGATCTTATCTTTATACCTCATCGGTCTATCCCTCCAATCATGCTGTGTCATTTCACGGAGTTGTTTTTGAGTTCACGGTGACCCTGCCTTGAACTCTTTAACTTAAACTTTTCAGCACCAGTCGACTGTTACTGTGGCAGCGGGAGCTGAAATTGGCCTGCCGTGTGATTTAGACCCCCCAGTTAAAGAAGGAAAGTTAAGACCAGGGCAGCAGGAAACTCATGTACAGCTTAAGCCCATGCAAATCCTCAGTTGTTCCCTTGTGTGGCAGATGACAGTGCCAATTTGTATCCTGCCCTTTATGTATCTTGTAAGTTTTCCTTTTAATCTCAGTGGCTTTCCATCTTTCATGTGTTTGTCTGACTGGACTTTTTGTGGTTGTGGTTCCTCACTTCTGTCTGCCCCATTAGTAATGCAATCCTTACTTCATCTGCTTCTTTCATCCTTTCAGATGCCCAAACTTGTCATTTCTCAGACTATTTCTCTAATGTGTACCCTCTACCATCACCCAGTTCTGTTCTTACACATCATTATTGTGCCTAGCGCACAAAAGAAACTCTATTCATCCCTGCTGCTGCATAGAAACTGAGGGAACTTAGTGGTCACATCTCCCACAATGGGTGTCCAGATAAGACGAGACCAGGCTTAATCTTTAAGAGTTTGTTCCCCAGTAGACTACTTTTTTTTGTAACCAGACTTCTCAAAGACTCAAAGGTTTGTCATACAAAGAGAGAGCAGAATAATAAAGTGGTTCTCATGTTTTAGTCATTATTTGACATTAAAGTTTCTGTTGTCACAGCCGTCGGAGGTGCACGATAAATGGCCCACGCTGTTAAATTAATTTGCGACCCTGAGCGTTACTTTTTTAAGTCATTATTTTATGCAGATGTATTGTCGTATGTTTAATAGGTGTGAATAATTGATTTGCAGTTTCTGTGCAGCAAAAAGGGGGTCAGGATTTACAAGGGGTGATGCAAGAAACTGTGGAGATTTTTATTAATGACCGTGAAACAGTGTAGTGTGAGTTCAAATAAGAGCTCAGAGCAGCAGTGATATGCTGAGGAAAGGCTCAAGCGCACATTTTTCAAACCTTAAAGCAACGTGTTACATCAGCTGAAGAA